CATTGTACAGTGGCATTAAGTGCCGAAATGTGCACCTCTGCCTACCCCTTCGGGGATAAAAAGGCGTGATGTTATGTTATGTTATAACAACAGTTTTTTTTTGAGGGGGAAAATTCTTCCGCCTCGGTGAGGCGAAAGGGAATGTCAGACTCTTACTGACTAATGACCACTCCGTTCCAACTCCTGTACTTCGAGTCGGAGCCCCGGCAAACCGTTAAATCCTCCGCGGCTCCGTTGGTAAAACAGCTTAGGTAGTAGACAAAGTATTTTCTGGTGATCATAATATTATCTCATTTTAATTAACAATCTACTCATATTGGTACTTATTATATTCATCGTACAATAGAAAAAACAAAAAAAACAACAAAATAATTGAAAGTATTTAATATCTGATATATAAATCACTTAACAAATCTAATTAAACATTCAAGCACAAAATTTTAAACTTGTTACGTTGACATTCAGTAACCTATCTATATAGATAGAGTTATGAAAATATGATATTTTTTAGGTTTACTTAGATGAAAGTACAAAATACTCCGAGAAACCTCAAGATTGACTCTTAGGCTCGTATTAGGTATAAAACGATACTCAAACTTAGATCTCTGCTCAAACAGAGCGGGAAAGAGATGCATGTATCTGTTGGTATTTGCATCCCTTTTTTACCGTACTTGTGAAGAGATCTCGACTTGAGTGTCGTTATATATTACGTGTATAAGTATCCAAAATAGGTACCATAGGTCTTGTATTAAATATAAGGCACTACAATAATTTTATAGCATAATTTTATTGTAAGTTTAAAAATGCGAAATACTTACCTATTTCGGTATATTATGTATCTACCTAAGCTTATGTGTACTTAGATATTTAACAAAAAGCTCATTAAAATACACCATAAGAGAGATTCCTGAAACACTACGCAACGTTTCGTAATAATAATTTTATATTAAAACACTTAAACTATTACCTAATGAGGTAAATGCAACAAAGTGAGGTTTTCTCTGTAATAAATGTTTTAATTATATTTGTTACATGGCACTTCAGTTATAGTTATCGTAGATTTTTTACCTCCCTGTAGCTTTTTGTTAAAACAGGGACAAAAACCTAGTGATAACTAGTATTCAAAATAAAAAAAATCTTGAATAACACAATTATTTAATGAAAATGAAGTATTCTGGAAAAAATCAATAGATAATAATTTATTATTTTGCATTGTTACATTAACAATGGCTATCGTTTAAATGTTAAATATTTCTAACGAAAACTTTTTAATTCGACAACTAGGTATATACGTATATATCGGTGGTTATTACGTTTATTCAATTTTGTTAATCTACTAATAGTTTTATGAAATGGTTCACTTTTTTTCTTTTGTGTTATTAGTTTGATCTATACAAAACCAGTACAACCTGTTTTGTGTTTTATTCATTCTTAGATTGCGTTTCTTTTTGTAAAACTTATTTAGTTGTGTCTTTTCCAAACTCACTTCAGTGATAAGAACCAGATTTTAAAGTTCCAATAATAAAAAAATATGTTAAAACGATTCATATAATAAAAAGGCGGTTGAAGTTATGTTAATGAACGATGATATAAAACTTACCTAATAAAATTGCATTTCTGTAACTACGTAATTATAATAAACAATAACGTTTAACGTTAACGTTCGTAAATGTTTATTCAAAACTCTGCTATTACATCCATAAACGTAACTGTAACTGAAAACTTAAAAAAGAACTCAAAATCTTACAACTAAATATAAGAAACTTAAATGACTTAATTATAATAACAATGTTTTTACACCGACACTTGTCATGCGCAGTATTTAGAGAAGCATACAGCCAAATAATATTCAAATAATAAAATTATATTTACGCACTTCAAATAATTGGTTGAAAGCTATTTAAATGGCCACGACTAACAACATTAAGAAACATTACATATCAAACATTTATATATCAGGCCACAATAAGACTTATGCAAATGCTCAATACACAGTTTTGTGAAATCAATTTTGTAAATATTTATTCAATAATTTATTCAAATGATCATTTTATGACATAAAATGGTCATTTGTTTTTTTTAAATGCGATTTTGTTATTCAAATATATTTATTCAAATTTTGAACATGTGGCTTTGTGTTAGCATTTGTTTGTTAAAATATATTTATTTAGGCTGTATTGTAAACTGCTGGTTTGTTGGAGGGGTCGTCCATCTTCAAGTAGTAGCTTCTGATTACCAACATGAAGTAAATGCTCAGAACTGAAAGAAAAAATAATATGTTTTTTAAAAAGATCACTGAAAACAGAATGTTAGAGAAACAATAATCATTGATTAAAAAATAAATATGATAGTAAGTAGAATTAGCGCGAGATTGCTATAAATATTTCTACAGATATAGCAACTTCATATATTATTCTGTTGTTATAGTAGGTCGGTACATACCTACCTACTATCGGAGATACTTATCTTCGATAATTTCTCATATTTGCCAAACAAATTTACTTTTCAAAACTTATTTTTGAACCTAATCCTTTTGGCATAAAGGTCTAAATAGCATAAAGGTAACTTTACTTAAGAGGTAGTCAGCTTAAAAACAATGATACTTACGAATTGAGATCAGATCCCTGGCGACAACACCACCATTGATGTGTGAGGCAGCGAAACCAGCGAAGAACATGATGATGTACAGCACCAGGAAGATCACGGTGTAGATCAGGTACGCCTTCACGTGACCGCGCTTGTGCTGGAATAGGGAAATTCACATATTTTATCCTCAAAATAAAATACATTTGTCATTAGCTCTATTTTTTCCAAATAGTGCCGTAATAACTGCCTCGTTGGCCGAGTGATCGCAAATGTGACTGCTGGACAAGGGGTCTTGAGTTCGATTCCCGGGTGCAGCAAAGTATTACTGGTTTTTTTTTTAAATCTCACTAGTAGCACGGTGTCTAGAATTCGGCCCAATATAGGGCAATAGGCTCACCCCCTATTACATGGGACACAAGATAAACAGTAAACAGTGAAAACATGTGCACCTCTGCATACCCATTTGGGGACAAAAGACGTGATGTTATGTTATGATGTAGTAAGAGTCTATTTTATAAATTCCCTTTCTGCCTTTGAAGAACCTTGTGTTTATAGTTGGGTGTGAAACTATTGCTGTAGGTACATGGACGGTAGCCAACAAGTCTAGGTTTTAGATTCTAGGTTTATGCACATATTGTGATAAAAATACGATAAATACTGATGACGCACAGAAGTGGTGATTATTATTCAAAGTAGAGAAAAGTAATAGAGAGTTAAGAAATAATAATCTTTAGAATTACCTTATGCAGACCAACAAGAAGTACAATGGAGAATGCGAGGAACAGGATAAAGAAGATGAGCATGATGCCGATGACCGCCAGCATGACGGCGCCCAAAGCCTGTGCGCCACTCTCTTTGTCGCCCTCCGCAGTCACCACTCCAGCTGCTGCCAGACCGATGATCGACATCAGAATGGCTATTATGTTACCGATCTGAAAAATACAATTCATAATTAGTATTATATACTGGCTGCACGGTTGAACCGTGCGGTGGCCGGGCTACCGGCTTTTTTCCCGCACGGAACAATTCTTTGTGTGATCCAAAAATTGTTGTTCCGGGTCTGGGTGTGATGTGTATGTGAACTTGTATGTTTGTAATTTAACTTGTATAATAAAATCCTAATGTGAGGCAACGTCTTATTTAAAAAAAAAGTGTCTGTGACAGTGATGGTGTATTATGGAAAATATTAAAGGTATTGACACGAACTTCATGAAAGTCAAGTTACATAAGTCAAAATCATTTATTTCAATTAGATCATGAAGGCACTTTTGAGCGTCAACAACAATAAAAGTTTAAAAATGAAACTATTCGCTCATTCCATGGAGAAGAACGAGCAAGAAACTCCGTATGTTATTCTTTTATAAGATAAAATATTAAATGTAGTTCATTCTTGTATTGCATTTCATTACTGTCAAACACCAAGCGGTCACCGGTGACCGCAACCTATTGTTCTTTAATCGTGTCTATAATGACGGTGCTCGACGAGTTAATTTGCTTCTGGTCTTTTTTTTAAGGGGGGGAAATCATCAAATGACTGCTCCCGCCTGGGTGAGGCGGGAGGGAGTGTCAGACTCTTACTGACTAAAAACCACTTCGTTCCTTCTCCTACACGTCGAGCCGGAGCCCCGGTTACCCGTTAGGTTCTCCGCGACTTGCTTGTGGTCTAGACATTGCAAGCGGTTCAGAATGTAAATATAATTGTTAAAAAACATTAGAAATTTTAATAGTGGATAATATTTTACGCAGTGATGGCACTGCTGAAGACTTTTTAGGTACTTTTCAGAAGGATTTTTATTTGGTAGAAAAGTATGTTTTTAAACGCACCCAGGACACAGAAGAAAATCCCAATGTAGGGCAATTAAATGAAAAAGTATGATGAATATAAATAAAGATCCTTACCAGGTTCAAGTACCCGATGATCAGGCATCCTGTCCTCAGCTCTATACAGAAGCAGCACTTGTCGAATACGAAAGTCATTTTTTATCTGTAACAAAATAAACAACTTTGAAATTATGTTGCAACTTGCAAATAAGAAACTTCATGGTAAAAAAACCCAGTAATACTTTGCCCGACCCGGGAATCGAACCTGAGACGCCTTGCCCTTCAGTCGCACTTGCTACCACTCGGCCAACGAGGCCAAAGAGTTGGACCTGTATTGTTACATCTTAGTTATCTATTAATTTGTCCAAACAGCAAATAATGTATCTAGCGCTATAAGCCTATACCATTTATTACTGAAAATTCTGCTTTGTTCTGGACAAACGTACCACAATCATTACATTCAATCATTTGTTCTTTTATTTCCATAGAAGCTTTTTTAATACAACGGAAATATTTATACAAACTTCAGTAGTTACATAATTAAACAGATGTCTTGATACCATCGTCTATAAAACCCAAGGCCCCTCTAATAGCACACCCATGAGAAGCCCATGGTACTCAGATGATGAAGTTGGGGCTATTAATAGACTTTACAGCTACGAGGAATGTGGCCAGCGCCATCTTTTAGCTTTGAGTTGATGTAGACGTAATAATTATTTGTGATAATGTGGGAAATACACTTAGGAGGAAAGAAACGACTGCCATTATAGTTTTTTTTTTCTATTTTATTGAAGCCTCTAAGTATTTTTTTTTAAGGGGGAAAATCATCGAATGACTGCTTCAGTCTGGGTGAGGCGGGAGGGAGTGTCAGACTCTTACTGATTAAAAACCACCCCGTTCCTTCTCCTGCACGTCGAGCTGGAGCCCCGGTTACCCTTTAGGTTCTCCGCGACACCCTCTAGGTATAGCTTTAAAAAATCCTTTTATAACAAAATGCTCATATTAAAGGTAACTAAATTGCCATTCATACAAAATACGTTACCAATAAATGAAATATTTGTATCAGAAAATATTCATCAAGAGATGAAAAAGAAGAAAATGCCAGTAGCTTCGTTTCTTTGATTTAAGTGCAGATTTGATAATGATATTGGCAGGGCTAGAAAGTTATCAGAAGATGTAGAATTACGTTTATTCAGCTTTGGGGGGCTGGTAAAGAATCTGATGTATTTACATATATCTATTAGTTAATATTATGCTGTCCTAGAAGGTAAGCTAAGGCTAACATCAAATATACATAAGAAATACTACTACATTTTAGAATCACACTATATAGGTACATATATACTATATACTGTAAATTTTATGAAAAGAAAAGACATATTCTAAACTGAATCTCTCTAGGTGAAGATAACGTTTGCTGTTGTCATTTGATATTAGTGTCAAAATATGTATCAACATTGTACATATTAAAATTTTTTATAAATTGTGTCGAACGAGAAACATACACTACTGAATCAAAACAAGCAATATAAGCTTTGACCTTAAAGACATAAAAACGTGACTACAGACAATCTATCACGTGTAGCATTATCAACACTCCTACAATGAAAATAAGTTCAAAAATAGATTGAAATAAAAACAGAATTGCGTTTTATCTACTCGCCAATGTTAAAAGTTGCTCCTCCGTTCCCACTCGATGATCTCATCTGACATTGAACAGTAAAATAATCCATGTACATATTTTACGGTCAAAATGGCGCCTCAAAAATGTGCTGTCTTAACTCTCACAATTGATTCCTTTAATAAGAACCTAGGAATGTTACTTCAATTAAATCTATTAGGCCATGGACCACTTTAAAAGAGGTTATAGAACTTTTTTCCCGCGAATCAATTTATCCTTTTAATCCTGGCTTATTAGTTGGATAGGGACGGCAATTAAGAAGCATAATTTTAATTTCCTTGTTAATGAAAGTGTGTCAAAGAATCTTAGAGAATTAATATTGTAACATGAATTTTAATTCATGTGTTGGTATGTGCAGAACCTTCGAACAATTTTAGACCATGATATGGTTAGAATTTTGAATTGAAAAATCTATTAGGTCTGTTAATTTAAAATGAGTAAGACACAAAATGTTAGACGTGATGTTTTTTCAAAAGAAAACAGATATTTTTAGTAATAAAATATACCTGGTAGCTACCTATAGAATAATCAGACCACATTCTTTTCATCGCAGTTTTATGGCCATTTTTCGCTGACCTAGTAACTCGAGTTCTCGTGTCCAACTAGGCAAACACTAGACGCAAAATATGTACATTATAATGGATCCTTTTTATACTTGTTTGTTATGACGTAATCGACGCCCATGTTGTATTGAGGGCACGCCCTAACAAAGCTGGAACATAATTCGTAGCCCACGTTGTTAATTTAAGACTGTATTTAGTTTTTGTAGGCTGTTAGTGCCATTTTAATAATGCCTAAAGGTGTGGGACTGTCTAATTATCATTATTCTAGGCTTGTAGGCACTGAGGTATACTGTAGTCTAGATTTTAGTATTCTAAAATCTGTATCTGTGTTATTACACAGACTACTTTTTTACCTCCTGATTTGGATGAAAGTTAATGATACAAACTAATTATTATATACTAGCGACCCGCCCCGGCTTCGCACGGGTGCAATATGCATGAATTATACATATAATAAACCTTCCACGTTCCTTCAGAATCACTCTATCTATTATAAAAAACCGCATCAAAATCTATTGCGTAGTTTTAAAGATCTAAGCATACATAGGGACGGACAGACGGCGGATAGCGACTTTGTTTTATACAGTGTAGTGATGAAGCATAGATGTTAATTTGCTAAAAAGTACTGTAGCCCTAACGACTCCAAGAATTTCTCGTGGGTTTATTGACCTCTGACAATTAATGACAGTAGTAAGTAGAATTGCACTCAATAGATTCGTCCTGTCTTACACATTACACAGGACTAAATAATAAATTGACATGAAGATTGTGGTCTAATTTTCCTTTTTGAGGAATAATAGTTTCGCGACTATGGATGATCAGATGCTAATGCAACCGTCATGTGCATTATTGAATAAACATTATATATCTGGACCTGCATAACTGGACTTAAATATCGCAGTACCGACGAGCATGTATAAAAAACTGATGACTGTTGATGAAGCGAAAGAGATATGATAGCAATCAATTGGCATTCCACGGTCTCTGCCTACCCCCATGGGAGACAGGCGTGAGTTTGTGTATGTATTCTATCGCAGTTTAAAAGGTTCAGGTTTATCAAAAAGTGCTGCTGTCTTGTCTTTGTCAATTGTTGAGTCCCTTAACTCGTCGAGTACCGGTTTTGTAGACACAATTATAGAACAATAGGTTGCGGTCACCGGTGACCGCTTGGTGTTTGACAGTTTAATCGGGTCTTTCTACTTATACACACACATACACAACCTCACGCCTGCCTCCTATGGGGTTAGGCAGAGACTATGGAACCCAGTTGCTACGATTACTTAGGTATATACCTCTTTCGCTTCATCAGACATCAGTCTTACACACGGCATAATATGGGTCTAACATCTGTGGGGAGAGTACTTGTAGTGGATGACAAATACATTCCATACTGCTGCCATAGCAAATATTTGCCGCCATAGCAATGGCTGGCTGATTTTCCACCAGTTGAGTGGCAGAACCTTGATCATTTCTAAAGATAAATTCAAAATTGATTTTCCGATCGAGTTTGAAATGAAATCTTTAACGAGATTTCCTCTCGCATCCGATGCCGTGTTTAAACAAAAAAACTTGGAACAAATCCAAATACCTACATGTTCGTAAAAATATAAGTTTCTGTGGTTGAGTCATGTATTTTTATATAGAATATTTTTGATAAGACTGGTATACTGGATAGGTAGGTATCGGCAATGTGGGGCTAATGCGGCTCGATTTGAGTGCAGCCACAATATTGTTTAAATCAAAACCACTATCTTTGTTTTATTGCATTCACATCCCACTGCTTGTTTAAAGTTTTTTTTTATTGCATCTTTATGTTTGACGGCAAAAATCTCTAAAACTTTTATAGGAATTTTGATGCGATTACTTATTTATTATTAATTTTAAATCTTTATTTTACTATCTAAATATAAACTTAATTACTACATTATTCATAAGAATATAAATTAAATAAATATATACAACTTAAAATATAAATAATTTAAATTAATATTTTAATTTTGATAGAATGATTTGAAGCAGGAAAATTATTTTGGAGTAAAAATCATTACTATAGAAATGTTATATTCCCTACATTGTTTTAACCACCTTTTCGCATTATAAAACTAGATCTTAGTCGCGGATTTGGTTACCTGAGTTTAGCCTTTCTCGTCCACAGTTTTCCCAATTATAAAGTTAAACCTTCATCATGATCACCTCTGTATTTTGAACTTGTTTTTGCTATGAACCAGGAGTGTTTTATGATTAATTCCTTTTACGCAAAACTGTAGTATAACAGCTTAACTATAGTTTATTTATTGATACAGCCGCTTCGTTATAAATAATGAAGATTTCAGCATTCCTCAACGTAAGCCGACGAGTTGAGTGAAAACATCTGTTTTACAGGAATATTGTGAGAATTCTTTATGTAAAGATTACATGGAAATGTACAAGCCTTTGTATTAACTAAAATTTGCGTGAATGGACCGAGAAAAGCTTTACTAGTTTCGAACCACACCTTACAGCACTTAATGCCACTGTAAAATGTTTTCCACCCACTTTCTATTTATATTATGAGTCTCATGTCCTAATAGGGGGTGGTCCTATTGCCATATAAGTACCGGGCACATTTTCAGACTCTCTGTTACTACTGGGATTTTTAAAAACCAAGTAATACTTCGCCCGACAGTCTTGCCTGGCAGTCGCACTTGCAACTACTCGGCCAACAAGGCAGTTCACTAAGACATCGCAAATTCAGTATGAATAGAAAAATTCTACGTATCTAAAAGATTTATTATAAAACAAACTCTATTACGAATTTAATAAGAACGATAGTCCAATATTATGAGCAACTAACACGTGCAGCGACACTTGGAATTTTTTGTACCAAATATGGCATAAATAAATTCATTATTACTACATAAATACATACATAGAATTGTT